TTAGGGTTTACGGGTTTAGGGTTCAAGGTTTAGGGTTTAGGGTGTGCCGGGAGAAGCAGCGGGTTTAGTTGGGATGCTTAGGAGTGTTAGGGTGTTCCGGCTTTAGGCGCTCCGTTTAGGGCTTAAGGCTGAAGCTTTATATAGTTGATGAAGGGCTTAAGTAAGGCTCAGGGCTTCGGCTCAGGGTTTTGTTGGGCTTCAGGGGTTTTTTGGGGCTTTGGGGCTTTGGGGGTCAGGGATTAAGGTTCAGGATTGAAGGGCTTTGAGGTTTATTTTGGGGGGGTTGTAAGCAAAAGCTGCCGGTGGTTAACAGATTCTGTACGGCGTCAAGACTGCCATGCTTTACGAGATGGTTTGTGGTAAAACCCTACCAGCAGCCCAGACCCTACCAAAAGTCGGAGGCTGTGATCCCAGGTATCGTCTTGGAATAAACAGATGCTTGCTGGTTCAGGCCGGCGCAAAGGCAAAGCAATCGGAGTACAAAACGACCTGAATACAATGACCTTATCCCTGGTGGTTACTATAAACCCCACCCCCCCCAGTGGAAGTTTAGCAAAAGTTTAGCACGTTCCCGAAGTAACGGCTTACAGCGACCATCGAACAAGATGAGGCCCGATCCGCTGGGACGACATCTCCAGTGCCCAGGACGACCACGTCACCGCGCACCACGTGGTTGGTGGGAATTTGCACTTCTTGCCTGAAACGAGGTATTTATATCATGTGTTTATATATATATACATATATATATATCATGTATTATATTTATATTACATATATAATATATACCACAGTGACAACAACCACAACGACAGTGACACCAACGACAACAACAACCACCGTGGCTTGCAAGCACTGCTACTGCGACGGCTCCGGCCCATGGTGCTGGCACTCCTTTCGTTGACCACCGGTGGAAGTCTGATTTTCTCCTGTACACTGTAATCGTGCCTGCTTGGCCCTCCAAACGCCCTACCCATCAAATAATTGGGAGCCACATACACCCATAATAGGACTAATTCCCGAAAGCCCCTAAACCAAGCCTAGCCCTAAATAAACCAAGCCTAGCCCTAAAAAGCCCATGAAAAGGTACTTGGAGGATCCTGGATCTCAGGAAACCGCACACTGCCGTCTCGGAGCAGCGCCGCCCCGCCCTTGGGGCTCAGTGGGATCATTCTCGGCCTCCTCGCTGTCTCTAAAGGCATGGGGAGAACCAAGCTCGGAGTCAGAGCCCTTTCCGATTTCTTTGAGCCTTTGCTTGAGCTTTGCGGTCGGCAGCGAGAGAGCCTCGGAGAGACCGCGGTCGGAGCCCTCGGGAGCCAGATTCAGCGCCGCCAAGCGCTCAAGACCTTTCGGGTTCACCTCATCGAAGGGATCTGGGTCCCTGTCCTCGAGCAACTTGTGCAACCAGCCGATCATTGTGTAGCATCCATTCCCGGTGCAATGGACTTTTGCACTCCCCGCGCAAGCAAACTCACCGGACGGCTTCAGTTGCTCCGAAAGTAGCCGGTTGCGCTGCAGCTTCCGCATGACATCGGTTTGCGAGACTCCCAGGAACTCCAGCACGATCTGGATTTCTGAAATTGGAATGTTTGCAGGAGCCAGGGTTCGTGTCAGCAAGTGTGGCGCTGCCAGAACGCTTCTTGCGGGCAGGAGGGCCGGCGCAGACGGATCAAGGACAAAGAGTGCCACAAAGTCGCGCGAAGCCTCTGTCTCACCGGTGTTTTTCATCCGAAGCACTCGGTGTGCCATTTGATAATTCGAAAACACCAGAAGGGTGCCCTCACCAATGGGAACCCGACAGTTGTGCACTGCTGCAGACTTGTCACTCTCACTCTTGCTTTTACCTCGGAAAGCCAGCCGCAGGGACTCTGATCCCAAATCATCGATGTTGTTGCTGCAATCACCGGCGCCCAAAACATCCATGGGCTCACGGCCACAGAACTCCATGTCACCACCACGAAGAGACGGATCAACATGGTAGTAGTACAATACGACGGCAGCCACATTTTCTCTGAGGCCATCGACATGCCACAGACCGACGTACTCTGCATCCGAGTTGTCACCAGAATTTCCTGGAACGATTATGCGTTGTGCCTTAAACACAACTTGCAACCGCCGATCATCCAGGAGAAGTTGCGGTCGCCGCAATTTCGCCAACAAGGGCAGAGCTGCAGAGAGGACCGGGCATGCAACATGCTGAGCAAGGTGTGGATACTTGTGACTCCGCATGCCACCCACCAATGATGGAGTGCCATCTCCGGAAATATCAAACTCGCACGGCACCCACTTAGTCCCGCCACGTGTCTGGTGAACAAACTGATTAGGATCAACGATCATCTGGTAGCGTGGTATCGGCTTGTCGAGTGTCAGGGCTGCGTGCTCATCCAACAGCGGTTTCACAGGCAGTTCTAGGCGAGTAGTCCAAACATCACTTCGTTCGCCTCCCCACTGCTTGGTTCCTGCTGGAGTCTTCCAAGGAGGTGCGTGAGGGAAGTAGCCGAAGGGCTTCAATGGTTCATCAACGCCTGCTCCGTATGAGATGACTTCGCGCTGCGTGTACACCAGCCAGTCCTGCTCTCCATGAGGCGCCCCCTGGAAAGGTCTGGTGACCCATGTCCGCCATTCTCTCAGTGCTTGGACAGGCTCCAGGAGCCCACTCAAGTCCAGCTGGACCTCCCCCTCCCCGAAACCCGGATTGCCGGGACGATCGACCTTTCGGCAAAGCAGGGGTCGACATTCTGGAATCGTCTGTTTTAGCGTTAAAACCCCTTCTCCACCGACGGGGTCGGCCATTGATAGCTCGCGGCCAGCCTGGAGAAGAACGCCGGCCTCGCAACCTGTCTCTTCTGAAATCAGCTGCAACAGCATTCCAGCAGTGAGGAGCTCAGCCTGCAGACGACTTTGCTGAATCTCAAACAACTTCTCTCCACTGAGGCTGTGTCCATGAACGCCGTGTTCATCCAAGTGCAGCGTGGATATTTGGTGCCTCAGGATTGGGTCTGGGAACCTGAAGCCTCTGAAGCTCTCGTCGTCATCTTCGTCATCCGAGTTTGTTAGCAACACTTCCTCGTCTGCGAACTTCGTCATCCTCGCCGACAGCGCCTCTTCATAGCCGTAGCGGTCGTTCGGGTTCATGGCTACGCTGCTGGCAGGGTGGACGCTAGGGCACTGGGACAGTCTTGCTGATAACACAGCCGCTGACCATGAACTTGACAACCTGCTAGCATCTGCCGGGGAAGATAATGCTTGGCAAGAGGAGCAGTTGGACGACGACAGATGCTGCCCTTCAACACAGCACTGTGCCACTGTTTGTGAGAGATAATATGCTGCACAAGAACTACTATGAGCAACGGATTCAGTTCTTGTGCCTCGGGTTCCCTGTGCAAGGTTAACTGAATCAAGTGCACCTTTACTTTCTCCCTCCGCAGTATGATGCTGGATGTTTTGCTACCGCACTCTGTTTCGGAAAATGCTCCCAGGGGTCCATTCCTCCGGAGGCGTTGGGGCAGGAATGCTAGCCAGTGCTTGCTGACATGAGCAGCCACGACCTCCATCTTGCTGCCAGGATGCCCATCTCGAACCACCTTTCGGGGCACAGGGAATCAAAGATACCGGACTGTCTAGGATGAGGGGGAAAACACAGGGAAGTCCTAAAAGCTCCTTCCCGAAGCCCTAAGCCAAACCACCCGAGAACCCTGAGCCGAGGGTTCTTCGCACAATTAAGTCCACCTCTCTGCCTTCCCTCGACGTCGAATCTGTCGCACGACTGCTCTTGGCTCGGGGTTTTCTAACTTCAAGTTGATTCAACTGCAAGATATATCATCTAAACCCTCGACCCTAAACCCTAGACCAAACTTCAGGAAAGATTCCGAACCTTATTCTAGGTCAGGTCTCGTCTACCCGTCAGCCTGGGACCCCCAGAAGCATCTTCGAACGAAGACCTAACCCTGCTGGTTTAGGGTTTCCGAGGGTGTAACATAAGGTTTAAGTACTGAAAGCTAAACCCTAAACCCCGAAACCCTAAACCCAAAGCCCCATGTCCCAAAACTCTAAACCCGGAAACCCTAACCCTAAACTCGAAGCCCCAACCCTAAACCCTAAGCCCCATATCCTAAAACCCTAAACCCCAAAACCCAAAACCCGGAAACCCTAATCCTAAACCCTGTATTTATCCCAAACCCTAAACCCTATATCCCAAGTCCCTATACCCCGAAACCCTAACCCCAAACCCGATCGCCCAACCCAAAACCCTAAACTATATGTCCCAAGTCCCTAAACCCCGAAACCCTAAATCCTAAACCCGAAGCCCCAACCCTTGAGTTCGAACCCCTTGGCCAGGAAAGTTCAACCAGGAAACCCCCAAAGCTCAAGGCCGTAGGCCCCAAAGCAGAACCTGCGGCCCCAAGGAAACCCGCAGTTCAAAGTTCAGGGTTTAGGGGGTTTAGGGTTTTAGGGTTTAGGGTTTAGGGGTTTAGGGGTTTCGGGTTTCGGGTTTAGGGGTTTAGGGTTTCGGGTTTCGTCGAAAGCAAAAAACCCCCAACGACATCCTGAGGGTCTTGAGGGGCTAGGGGCCCTCAGCTGCAGGGTCGCATCCTCCTTTAAAGCATACCTAAAAGGGGGGCGAGATCCATATCCTAAACCCTCAACCCTAAAGCCCAAGCCTCAGTTAGCCCTATATCCTAAACCCTAAACCCTGAGCTCGTGGCATAGATCGCTGCTTGGGTCATCTTGGAGAGCGCCTGGTTGAGGAAGATGAGGGAGGGGAGCTGCCCAGGTTCCTTTACGGATCCCTGTAAGGCTTCGTTCAAGGGCTTAGGGGTTTCGGGTTTAGGAGTTTCGGGTTCAGGGTTTAGGGTTGGTTGATTCCTATAAGGCTTCATTCATTCAAGGGTTCCTTTGCTCATGAGAGTTCCTTTAGGAGCTCAGGGTCTTGAGAAGGGTTCTGTATGGGTGTAGAGTGCATGGTTTTGTAGGGTCCTTAGTGTCTTGATGGGGTATGCATAGGGTTTCTCGGTGGTGGTATGATGCTTTGTGGGTTCCTCGAATGGCGCAACCCTGGAAGGGTTTCGTGAAGGTTGCTTGGGCTGTAGGATTGCTTTTGGGTTTAGGGCGTAATGTAAAGGCCTGAATAATTAAATTACCAATACTATCCTTTAAGGTTTCCCATTGGAAATCAGCTATGAGGAAAAGGGGGCTTGAAAGATATAGGTTTACTGTCCGAGGACATCAGGACCCCCCGGTGGCCTCCAGCGCATCTCCGGCTTTGTGCTCAGTCCATGCAGCAATGCCCGCGTTGAGGAGCACCTGGACCAGTCAGCGCAGTACGGTGAGGTTTAACCTTGGCTTTGGGGCTTAGGGCTTATAGGGTTTAGGGCGTAAGGCTTAATAAAGGCAGCTTTCTGATTAAACCGGTCAACCTTGGGGTGAAGGCTCGTGCGCCTACGAACATATGCAACATGGCACTTCGGCAATGTCTGTGCGTGAATAGAGACGTTCAGAAAACATGGATCTTACCAAGCTAATTAAGGGTTTCACATTCACAAATGCTGGACGGAGTCCGGCTTTAAAACGGTCCTTGAACGGAACCCCTTGGCATACAACGACCCCACATGACCGCCTGCCAACAGTCCCTGCTGTTGTCGCCGGCGGCCTCGAACTAAGCATCCAGGCTACCAAACGGAGTCCAAAGCTCTGCACCTACGTACACCAAGAACCCTCAAATCTCAAGCCCCAAACCGTTGATCGTAAACTCTAGATCTCATCCTGAACTCGACCCTAGGCCCTAAACCCTACGGAACCCCAAAACCGTCAGCCCTTTGCCCCAAACCCTTAAAACCCCTTCAACAACGCTTATGGAGCTCTTGTACGCCCCTGGCGGAATTCGTATAAAGCCGTGGAAGCCCCAAGAAACCCCGACACTTTTCAACCGCAGAGGCGCAATCACGAAAATCGCGATGCCGGTGGTGTAGGACAAGGGATCTTCGGCCCGAGTTCCCGTCGCATTCCTGTTCGTGGTCTCTCTCTCTCTCGCTCTCTCTCTGTCTCTCCGTCCCTTCCCTCCCTCTCTCTCTGTCTCTGTCTCAGTCTCGGTCTCTATGTATCTATCTACCTATCTGCCTATACATCTATCCATGTATCCATCTATCGACCGATCTGTCTGTCATCTATCTACCTGCCTACCTACCCACCTACCTCCTACCTACCTGCGTGCGTGTATACGTACATGCATGCATGCATGCATGCATGCATGCATGCATACATACATAGTGCATATGTATGCACATCATGTTGTTGCATATTGGTGTACGTCAAGTGATTTCTTTGTAGTGCTGCTTGTATGCTTTTGGTATTTTTTGTCTGTTTGTACTTGCGTGGCTCAGTGCGGTTGCATGCCTTTGTGGGGTCTCTTTCTATTTTCCTTGGTGTAGGGCTTCTAGAAATGTGGGCGTATACAGCTTTTTCACTACAGCATTAGGCTGTCGATCCTTTCAGGGCTTATACTTCGGATGTGTGGTGTGGAAGCTGTCCTAGATCAGCAGTCCTTTTTCGATACAAGCTTAGCAGTAGATTTAACTCTGTAGACGTTCAACGTTTTCCGTGCGGATCGTATTGCATGTGCAAGCTCACGTTCAATCACAGAGAGAGAGAGAGAGAGAGAGAGAGTGTGAGAGAGAGAGGTGTATAAATATATATATATATATGTGTGTGTGTGTGTATTTATATGAATATATGTATGTGTATATATATATATATGCATATGCATGTATACACGTATCAGCACATGTGTGTATAGATATATACATATGTATATACATTTACATGTGCGTGTGTGAAGGGAGGGTGCATGCCACCCCTGTGTACTACCCCAACTCAACAAGAACACAAAATCCTACATCTTGGCGCCAGAGCTGCATGGCGTCCCCAGCGACATGCCAGAGTTTGCGTATATGTAGAATGAAAAGCACCTAGATACTAGTTTCTCAATCACCGGTTTCGAAGATGTGATGGCGGTCTGCCCAGATCTTATCAAAGGACACAGAAGGTCTTCATCATGTTCTGATGTCTTGTTGCTTCAGTGACTGGCAAGCATGTAACCTTTCATGGAAAAACTAAAGACTTCTTTGACCTATTCCTCGTTGGTTGATCCTTTAAAGCTGCTAAATTTTCTGAAAAGAGATTGCGAGAGCCGAGAGATCTTTGATTTGTGCTTGTACTGAAAGCTCATGGAACTGTATCAGAGATGGAACGGCATAATACAACTCGCGATTGCTTCGCCGCAGATGTTCTGTACTGCCGACTTACAACAGGTTGTTAGGTCCAGAAGTGCATCGTCGCGCACTCCTCACCTCCAAACCTTCAAACCAAAACTCCAAACCTTCACCCTAAACTCTAAACTCCCAAAACCTAAACCCGAAATCCCAAAACCTAAACCCGAAATCCCAAAACCTAAACCCGAAATCCCAAAGCTGAGCCCACAATTTTGCACGCCGCGGATCTGCGGTTTGCTCGACTCTAGGATTGAGGCGCTCAGGGCTTTCGGTATCAACCACTGACTTCAGGGAACGCCATGGGAATCTAGGGCAATTCAACACTTTAGGGTTTAGGGGCTTAGACTTTAGGGTGTAGGATTCAACGCATCATTAAGCTTATAACTCCAATACCCGAGATGACATGTAAACCCCAAGGCCGTTCAGTTTGCAATCCAAACCCTAGCTGTGGAAGTCTGAGTGGCACAGCCATAGATGCCACAGCCGCAATGATGAGGAGGATGATGATAAACCCCAGCAGCCTGGCTTGGAAACAAATCGGCATAAATACCAAAACTATCCTCTTGTGAGAAGAGACTACACCCAGTCAATGGCAGGAAGCAATATAGGTGCCCCAACAACAGAAAGGTTTTTGGAGGTATTTTTGCTATACTATGATAAATATAGTACTGGTGATTATTTAGGCCCCTGCATCAGCAGGACCGCCTTCCGAACCCCAAAGCTCTCATCAAACCGCTTTGCACCCCTAAATCCCTGAAGCGACCTAGAATGAAAGGGTTTAGGGTTTATGGTTTAAGACTCCATACGTCTTCGGCCATGTGACTGCATGATGAAGAGCATCAGCAACGTTGGCTTGGGTGGCTTGTGCAGCTCGTTCAGTCCATCCTCCTGGGAAGCAGATGTCGTAAGGACCCTTATCATCTTCGTAGTAGGGGTATTGAGGCTCCCTATACCCCCCCCCCTTCCCCTATAGTGCCACCGTAAGGGCCCCTATGAACTTGCGAGCGCCAGAACTTGAGGGTAAGTGCGGGGCTCTCTGAATTCGGGTCCCCATTGTCAGCACGAGGTACTCTTTTCAGAGTCCAACAGAGAGAGGGTTTAGGGTTTGGGGTTTATTTAGGGTTCAAGGGGGAGGGCCCCTAAATTTCAAACACCAACATGCTACAGATTTCCCAGTTTTTGCAGAAGTCCCACTCCCGAATGACATTGAAGTCCCACTCCCGAATGACATTGCGAATCGGTTTGGCACCTAGGGACTTCGGCATCCTGGTGCAAGCCAATCGCCCCCCCCCCCCGAAAAAACGGGTACCAGATGTGGTTTTAAAGTGTGTCCGAACCTCATGCCCACCCATAACAATCCGCCTCAGCCGGCACTCCCTCAATCTGAGCCCGACTCTCAAACCCACTTAGGGAGGCCAGAATGCAGAGCAGAATTAAGGAAGACAGTGGCTAACGGGTGTGGATTTATGCTTAGGATACAGGGTGATGCTTGATGCATCCCATGTCGGGAAACGCACTCCCTCCAAGAGCCCATGCCTCTTCCTCCTTCAAGCCCGGAACCCTAAACCCTAAGCCCTAAAACCCTAAACCCTAAAACCCTAAACCCTAAAACCCTAAACCCTAAAACCCTAAATCCTAAAACCCTAAACCCTAAAGCCCTAAACCCTAAACCGGCTCCCTTGACCCCCGAGGCAAACTCGGGAATCCCACACCTTCAGCTTCTTATCGGCATCCGCAGTGTTCAGACCTGCAAAGGGGGCTCGTGTTCCGTCGAGATGTCTGGGCTCCTTCTTATTAATCCTAAACACCAGTCCCACAAACTACATCCCGAAGCCTAGCACCCAAACCGTGCACATCAACTCTGCATCTAAAATTCCGAAGCTTAAGTACGCCTAGAGGACTTGTAAGCTTTGGTTTAAATCAAAACAAAGGATCTGGGGATTTGGGGATCTGGAGTCCACGCTCCGGATCTTGGTCCGGACCTGGAGGTTCAGGGTAGGGTTTGCGGCTTGAGGGTGTGTTCGGCCGGTCGCGTGCTGTAGTGTGACGGCATGATCACCGATACACTGCCATACCCTAAACCCGAAAGCCTCTAAAACAAAACGAGTCAAAGCAGCCAGCCAAGGGCCAAGGCAAAAGCACGTCGCAGTCAAATCAGACATCCTTCAGCTTTCAGGCTGAAAAGTAACCTAAACTCCTTGACTGAAGACATGACCAAGTTCACTTGCACCGCATCGCACCCCCACAGAGAATGGAGAAGAGAGACATCTTGCCAGGGTTCACTTGGAATGGTTTGGGAGGCAGGGTGCCGTTTACAGGATGTCTTGGCAGTAGCCGAACCATGGATAAAGAACCCCCGCAACCCTAAAACCTAAGGACCACGCTGTGTTCTGCAGAGACCGGCCTGCTCTGAGATTTGTGCTGTAGCGCTCAATCACCTGCCCACACAGGCGGTTACCCACGTTCCCCGACCCCTTTGAACATAGCCCATGGCACTGAGGTTCGGGGAAGGTCGCGGTTTGGTTTGCTAGGATCCCCCCTTTTACACAACTGAAACATGAATACTAGTCCTCGTGCAACAAGCTGCCTGACTAAAGGTCCAAAGAGCTTTCAGATAAAAAGACTCTGCTTTGCACGGATGACAAATGGCTGCAGTCCCAGTCCCAGCCAGTGAATCTTTACTCATGCCGAGGGATGTGAAGCATCTACACAGCTGGGTCACGATACGACGTTCGCACGTTCGACAGACAGAAGCTTGCTAAATTCAGCCTAGCCAGCTGCCAAAGGCACGCCAAGAAAAGGCCAATGCTGCTGCTGCTGCTGCTGTTTTCGTTGGCTACTCTGCTGCCACTGCTAACCCTGCAGTGCTAAAGCAACTACCACTACCCGGAACGCTATCACCCGCAGCACCACCTGCGGCGTCGCACCTTTTCTCGGTCTCGCTTTGGCCCGCGTTAGGAGCTGCTGCGTGCTATGATAAACGCAACTAGGGGCGACTCGGTGGGGTCCAGGTTGTACCTGGGCAAACTTCGAGGTTCTCAAAATCTATACGGGCTGCTACAATTACGGCCGACTGTGAAGTTAAGCTATAAGGGCGCTATCATAAGGGCACTCTTACTTTCAGGAGTTTCTCGAAGTTCTGATTTAAGTTCGTGAAGTATAGGCTTGCAGTCTTTCAAGCTGTCGGTGAGGCATCGGATCATCGGGATCTTTCGTGAAGGGGTTTAGGGCAGTATTTTTTGTGCCATGGCTCAAAGCAATGAAGCGTCAGTAATGCAGAAGCAAGCACCCGAACCCTGGAACCCCCGTGCATTCTGGGAGTTTCGGGTCGTGGTGCCTTACAGTTTCGAAGATATTCAGATGGAGAGATCCTCGTCTTGCAAATTTTGATTCGGGTTTTGCTGAGATTTACGGCTTTGGTTTCGGGTTTAGGGTTTCGGGGTTTAGGGCTTCGGGTGGTTTAGGGGTTAAGGGGTTTTGGGCTCACGGAGTTGCCATGGACTTCGGCTTCGTGGTCTTCCCGACGCTCGGAAACGCAAGGCATCGAGTCTTGCCATGCCCCCTTAGACGACAGACAATTCCTAAAGCCAAGGCCTGAACCCTACTCCTTCTTCCTAAACCTTGAGTCCTAAATCCTCAAGACAAAATCCTGAACCACAAAACCTCAAGACGGAAATCAAGCGAAATTGCGTGTGTTCGCAACTAGCACCCCACCCAGCCCCGCTCAGCCCAGTACTGTCGAGCCGTATCGGCAAAACATTCGTCAAAAAGTGTCGGTCCAGGATTCTGAGGAATATTCTAGTATGCTTATAACAGGGAACCCTAAGGGACAGTACAGCAGTTACCTAAGACTTGATGTTCAATCCTAGATCCCTGAAAGGAAGTCTCGCCCCTTAAGCCCTAAACTCTAAATGCCCAGATCCCCTAAACACCTAAAACCCTAAACGCCCAGATCCCTAAACCCCCAAACCCTAACCCCCAACCCTTAAAACCCCTAAACCCTAAACCCTTAAAACCCAAAAACCCTAAAAGCCCCAAAGCCCCCTTAAGGAGTCGAAGATGGAACTCCACCCGCCGGCTGACTTGTCGGAGAGATTGGCGACGTTGGCCTTGAAGGCCTCCAGTGCCCGTGGCTTCCTCAGCGGTTGAGGGTTTGGGGTTTAGGGTTAGTCGGTTTAAGGGTTTAGGGTTTAGGGTTTAGGATGTAGGGTTTCGGGAGTGTTGGTTTGGGGCTTCGGGCTTTGGGGCCAGTACGCATGTTCTATACCGCTTCGACACTGCAGATCGGTGCATTCCCGCAGCCCAAGACCCGAAAGCCCCAGACCCTGGATCCCAAAACTCCTAAACCCAAAATGCCCCAAACCCCCAATCCTGAACCCCAAAACCCTCAACGCACAACCCTAAAACGCAGGGCCTGGAGCTTCGGGTCATATAGGCAAGGCTTCTGAAATGGGAACTACTTGGAGGTTCATGGGTAGGGTTATTAGTAGGGTGTGTAACTATAGTTATAACCTATATATTAGGGGACATATAACTCCACCTATAACTATAGCTAATGAACCTCCAAGTAGATGCCTCAGAGGGGTTAGGCGATTTATGGGCCGGGGCCGTAAGGTTTCTAGAGGCTCCCGGGTTTCTAGGGTTCTAAGGTTCAGAGAAGGGTCTAGCCGTTTCGGTTTAGGGTTTAGGGTTTAGGGTTTAGGGCTCCACACCAAAGACACCACACCTCAATCTTTGCAGCCGAGATTCCAAACGCCAAACCCTCAACCCCTTGCATAACAAAGGTAAATAGCGCGCTAGAAAAACATTTACGTATATATGTTTATACAACTCCTGTACATATAATCACATACATGTGTGTGTATATATAGATCATACAAGCAAAAATCAGCCAAGCCTCTCGTCCCATAGCTGCACAGCTGCTTCGAGATACTGCGCTGGCGACTGCCCCAAGAACTCCGGCAGGCTCGGAACCTAGCCGGACTTGAACACACAATTGCGGCGGAATTTTGGTGGGCTTTATAGGAATTTCGGATTTTACGGAGATGATCTCTACAAATGATTTCGGAAGCGGTTAGCAGCTACTGCTTGGGGGTTGAAGCTCCCTTATCTTAGCCCTAAACTCCATACAAGGAGCCCTTTTCTCCTGAACCTCATGGAGCGCAAGGCCTCCACGGACTTTGGGCTTTGGGCTTCTGGTTTCGGGCCCAGGCAGTTGCTGGGGCGCTTTCCGGAGGACGATCTTCGATGCTGTTGCAGCTTCTAACTAGTTCTGCACACGTAGAAGTTGCACCCTGAACTCTGAACCTGTCCGCCTGCCCAGAGCTCAAACCCTCATCCGAGCGATTTCGGTCAGGTTGCCTTTAGCCGATGGAGCAGGAAGGTGAGCAGCAGATGCAAGGGGATGACGTTGGCGAGCTCCTGTTCTTCCGGCTGAAGGGTTCAGGGAAAGGCTGGGGTTTGAGGTTTGTTGGTATAGGGTTTAGGGTTTGGGTTCAGGGGGTTCGGGTTTAAGGTTAAGGGTGTAGGTCTTACAGCTTGCAGAGTTCAGAGAGTGTGCAGGGGTTTGGCTTTGGGCTTAGGCAGATCGACACAGCAACATGGACCCCTAATACGTAAACCTCCTTCCCTGAACGGGGATGAACCCTATGGGATTAGGATTAGGGGGACCCTTGAAGGTCTAGAAGCCATAGGTAGGGTTAAGAAGGGTCCTCCCTGATGCTACCCTACACTAAACCCGAAACCCTAAACCCTAAACCCTAAACCCTAAGACTGCCTAGGACCCTTGGGTTTGGCACGCTCCTCGAAGTCTTGGGACTCCACAGCTGTGCTGCTCAGAAGCTTCGCGAACTCCTTCAGGACGGATGCCTCATAGCCTGGGTTTCTTGCTAAAGGAGTTGACGTAAGTTACCAGAGTACATGATGTATAAATAGGTAGGTGTGTAAGTACCTAGAGCTTGTGTGAATGTATGTGTATACATCTATCTATCTATCTACCTACCTACCTACCTATCTATATATCTATTTATTTTTGTATTTATATTTATGTATACATTTAGATATAGTACATCAGATGCTTCCTTGCTATGGTAGAATTTAGTTGAGCTCCTCAACAAGAACCCAGTAGCGGAGGTGGGAGGCATAGTCGGGGTCGATGCTTTGCAGGAGGCTTTCGAGGGTCGTCAGCTCTTGGCGGAGCGGAGACCGTGACAAAGCGGCCGCGGACAAGAAGAACCGCAGCGCAGAGCTGCAAAACTCCCGGAGGTGACCTTACAGCTACGGTTTAAGGGTTTAGGGTTTAGGGTTTAGGGGTTTAGGTGTGGGGTTGGGCCTCCGTTAAGAATCCTCAAGACCCTGATCGCAAACATGCACAAACCCTACAACCCCAAAACCCCGAAACACCCCCCCCCAAAAAAAAAAAAACGAACCCTCAAAGCCCTACACCCCTAACAACTCGAAAACCCCAAGAATCCTGCTTTCTTGAGCAAAGCGAAGCGGCCCTGGAGCTGGCCCGCCCCGAAAAGGGAGAAAAACTGGCGACTGAGATGAGCAGCCGCCTGGAGCTTAGGGTTCAGGGTTTACTGTAGGGTTCAGGGTTCAGGGTTGAGGTTTTGGGGTTTAGGGTTCAGGCTTTACTGTAGGGTTTAGGGTTTCGGGTTCAGGGTTTAGGGTTCAGGGTTTAGGGCTTCAGGGGTTCAGGGTTTAGGGTATCGGTCTTAGGGTTCAGGGTTTAGGGTTTAGTGTTGAGGCTTTGGGGTTTAGGGTTTAGGGTTTAGGGTTTCGGTTTCAGGGTTTAGGGTTCAGGGTTTAGGGTTTAGGGTTCAGGGTTTAGGGTTTCGGTCTTAGGGTTCAGGGTTCAGGGTTTAGGGTTTAGGTTCAGGGTTGAGCGTTCAGGTTTTCGGGTCCAGGATTTAGGGCTTTAGGGCTTTGGGTGGTAGAGTTTAGGGGTTTAGGGCTTGGGGTTAGTGGGCTTAGGGTTTAGGGCTTTGGGTCTTAGGGTCTAGGTTTCATGGTTTAGGGTTTGGGCTTGAGACGTTTACGTTCCTGTTGAGGTTTAGGGTTGAGGGGCTTTGGGCTTAAGTGTTCACGGCCTAACTTAGAGCTTGGGGTGTTAGGGCTTAGGCTTAGGCTTAGGGTTTAGGGCTTTAGGGGTTTAGGGGTTTTGGGTTTAGGGCTTCGGGGGTGGTGGCTTAGGAGGCTTAGGACTCAGGGCGTTGTTGCGGAATTTCGGCCTTAGCGGGTTGTACTATAGAAGCCCAATATCTTTTTACCAATATCATTCCTGAGGGCTCCGTACCATCATATATACTCTAAAGGAGCCCCAAAACCCTATTCTCATGATTCAAGCCCCTCCATTTACATTACACCCTAGACCCTCAACCCTAAACCGGTTTTCTAAAGGCCCTGCACTCTGCACCCTAACCCAACCCTATCGAGGCCCCTACAGTAGAGTTGGAGTTGGAGGGTTCAGGCCTAAACCCTGAACCCTAACCCCTAAACCCAAAAACCCTGAACCCTAGGCTCTAAACCCCAACCCTCTGGACCCTGGGCCCTAAACCCTGTGCCTGGCTGACGGCGAGGAGTTGGCTCTCGCCTTCTCCCTGAATACAGGCGGCGATGAGGGCCTTTGAAAGGGCGCTCTGGAGGTTGGTGAAGATCGGCATGACGACGGCCGCTTGGGCTTGCTTCAGGGTGTTCTGCACCTGCAAGAGGCCCACAAGGAGCATGAGACGAGCAGAAGCTGCCTCTGACTCTACCACCACCCCCTTTCACCACCCAAAAACTTTTAAAAAACCTACACAGCTACCCTCTGTAAGCCCTAAACCCAAAAGCTAAAACCAGGATTCCACAAAAAGTGGAGGGATCCTTGAGCTCTTCATCTGGATTTCAGGAAACAAGGCACCGGAGTCGCAGAATGCCAAGGTGGTTTAGGTTAGTCTCGGGCTCCCTTAAGTTGAAGTAACGGAACCCTAAACCCTGAATCTAAACCCGAAGCCGTCCCTAACCTGATCGGTGGCCACCGACTCGAAGAATCGCGAAGGCACCAATTCCCGAAGGGCCGTCAAGGTGTGATGAGCGATACCGAACAGCCTGGCTGAGGTTTAGCTATATAAGTGTAGTTAGGGTGGAGAGCTTCTAATCCAATAAGGAGCGAAAAAATACCATGACTTAAGATGGGGGTGCGTAGGTGTGTTTCTGTGAGTGAGGGGAGGCTACCATCATAACGAAAGCGTTTGTGATTTACTACCACATATTACCACATACAATATGGGTACATACATACACACATGCATACTTACATTCGTACAAACAGATATATTATGGCAGCTTGAGCTCCCTTACTATAACATGATCCAAGTAGCCGGGCATTTCGGGCGTGGCCGGCAGTGGGCATGGGAAGCGGCGACTTTAACCGCAAGAGCCCATCCTCCTCCGTCAGGCACTGGAATGCAGAGGA